GGAACTCGAACTGCAGTCAACTACATGGGAATCCAGTGACATAGCCATTACACCAACTGCTGGTCCCATTTTTAAAACTATTGTTCTAATACATAAACTCGTGTTGCCTTCCCTATCACATAGTCTTCTGTTCCTCTAACTTTTTTATTGAGGTATAATTCACAGACCACAAAGTATACCATTTGAAGCATTCAGTTCAGTTAGGTATAGCACCTTTACGTGGTTGCACAATGATCACTGATTCCAGCTTGTTTGATTTATTATTTTAAAAAAATGAACCAATGTAATTTTATTCAATAAATATCATTTGATCCTTATGCTATATTACTGCAGAAAGCAAAGTGTGTGTTAAGAATGATGACAGCAAGTTCTTAACCAAATAACCAGCTTTCAGACAGTTTCAATAACTGCAGCGATTTCCTGGAACTGTCTGTAGAAATTCTGAAAGTGTGGAATTGTCTTTTCATAGCACTTGTTCTTTATTTGCCCTGAATGATCCGCCATGTTTAGCATCACTGCCACATATGGATATTTAAGAGATCTGCCGCTGTCAGAGCTCACAATCATCCCATTTCCACTGAAAATTTATAAGCTGGTTGGTGACCTTATCCCGCAGGCGCTCACCCAGCCCCTCCATGGCCGGTGCCGCAGTTCGTCCCACCAAGCCCGGCCTAGATTCATTTTTGATGAAATACATTGTATGGGTTTGGACAAATATATGCAGGTATGGTAAAGGTATGTAAAAATTAAACTCTCTTCCAAGATAGCTGAACCACTTTACCGTTCTAGTATTAACAATGAATAGGAGTTCCTGTTGCTTTGTCAGCACTTGGTATTTTTGATTTTGGTTATTCTAGTAAGTTTTTTTTTGTTTGTTTTTTGGGGGTTTTTTTGGAGAGATTTTTGCTGTAGGTCGTGTGCGCTCACGAGAGAGAGAGACAGAAAACGAGAAATCACCCACCAGGGGGATGGCCACGCCACAATCCCTTCTCCATTCTCCTCTCAGGATTTTGGGCACGCACGCACGCGCACCCGGCGTGAGTTTAAGCCACCGGGTCTGGGACTCGAACCGCGGTCGACTACGTGGGAGTCCAACGGCATAGCCATTACGTTAACTGCTGATCTCTCTAGTAAGTTTTTAATCTGAGTTTTTCTGATGCCCTAATGATGTTAAACATCTCATATGCTTATTTGCTATTTGTATCTCTTTGGTGAGGTGTCTATTCAGATCTTTTGCCCATTTTTTAATTGGGTCATTTGTTCTTATGGTTGATTTTAAGAGTATTTCAAGTCTTAAACACACATCCCTGGTGTGTTTTTCAAGCCACCGTGTGTGGGACTTGAAATACTCAGTTACCTTGTGACATCCAACCGCTTAAACACCATACCACCAGCTAGCCTGTGATTTTGTATCTTAAAAGTTATTACTGGGGGGAACCAGCAGTTAGCGTAATGGCTACCCTGCTGGACTCCCACGTAGTCGACCGTGGTTTGCGTCCCGGACCCGGTGGCTTAAAATTCACGCCGGGCGCGTGTGCGTGCGTGCCCAAGATCCCAAGAGGAGAATGGAGGAGAAGGGATTGCGGCGTGACCATCCCCCCTGGGGGGGGATT